CAAAACAGCTCCTACATGCCAAACTTATAGGGTGGTAAAGTCATTTCAACAACAACTTAACATTGTTTGAACACCAGCATCTCAAGCTGCTTTATGCCTTCCTATCTGTTAAAAGTTAAAACAAGAAGCAAGATCTCCATACCCACACACATTTGCTGTAGATAAATTTTACAAGCTCAAGGTAGAGTTCTAACAGTGTCTTTTAGACCTGAACATAAATGCAAAGAATACGTTCACAATTCAAAATCCATTTAACTGTGCAATTGAGAAGCTTCTACTTCAATTGGAAGCAATTAATTTGCAATGTAATGACAGGCTAAAAGGCAAATATCAAGACAAAAGTATAATAGAATTGTATAAATGCCTTCCCAATGATGAATATGTTCAATTAAAATCATATGCCTGTGGATTCATATCAGTATTTGTCAGTACCTATCTGTATGAAAAGACATTTTGAAGATGAAATACATAAAATCTCATTAAAAATCAGCATTTATAGATGAGCGTTTTCTATTGATTTTGATGATAAAGAACACTTAACTTTGTACTTTAGTTAAGTGAAATGGTATCCCTCCAAAAAAGAATTCCATCTTTTCCTTGAAAGCGTTAGCACTACAAAAAATTGTATTCAATTAGTATTATACTTTGAATTTCATTTGAACAGATTTTGTGAAAGTTTGTTTTCTCTCTTGTTATATAAGTATTTACATAAGAGCTTCGATTTTACCTGTTAGACCACAAAGTCTAAAATATTTACTACCTAGGTCTTCAGAAAATGTTTGCCAATCCCCGTCATAGCATGATTGTGAGGATTAAATAAAAGAATCCTTGTAAAAGTGGTTAGTAGCAAACTAGAATATAGTATTGACTTTTTTTTTTTTTGAGACAGAATCTCGTTCTGTCGCCCAGGCTAGAGTGCAGTGGCACCATCTAGGCTCACTGCAAGCTCCGCTTCCTGGGTTCACGCCATTCTTCCTGCCTCAGTCTCCAGAGTAGCTGGGACTACAGGTGCCCGCCACCAGGCCTGGCTAATTCTTTTTGTATTTTTAGTAGAGACGGAGTTTCACCGTGTTAGCCAGGATGGTCTCAATCTCCTGACCTTCTGATCCATCTTCCTCACCCTCCCAAAGTGCTGGGATTACAGGCATGAACCACCACGCCCCGCCAGGTATTGACTTTTTTTAATCCATCATCTATTTTGGGCATAGGTTTCCAGGGATTTTTAAAATTATAAACAGAAAAATGTTAAATGCATTAAATATTTATGTTCATAAATATTTGCCCACATCTTGGATTAGGATCTAACTTTAGGTTGCATTCCTAGAGGCAGGTTGATTTATCCTTTAAGAAAAATTTATCTTACCATGTTACTCTTATTTGTCCAGGAAACTAGATAATTTTAGACCAAAGAGACTACAAATTATGCCCTTGCCTTCCTGACATGTTCTATTTTTGGATTTTGATTCCAAGGAGAGCTAGCCTATCCGTGAAGGTTACTCATTCATTCAACAGGCATTCAGGCACTCTTTGGGCACAGGATAAATGTAGACATGTTGCCTACCCTCAGGGAGCTTCTACAGAGGAGAGATAAGACATCGATTACACCTTCATCCCTGGAATTAGATGTGAAGTCTCACCCAAACACTTGAACACAGAGTGAGAGAGGAGGTGCCCTCTGCCTTCCCAGCTGTCTCAGTCAGTATAGTCCATTTTGTGCTTAACCTGGTTAAAATAAGTGTGTTCTTTGAATGTAAGGAGTCATTTACTAAACGAGATGGATAAAAGTTTAACCGACAGAAAATGAGAAGGACAAGCAATTTAGTTAAGGGGACTAGCACAGGCATAGCCACAGATGCAGAGAAGAACAGCAACCACCTGGGGGAATTAAGGAGAAAAGGCTGGCAATGCGGCTTGGTCACACTATGGAAAGTCTTAAACGTTTTTGTAGTGTGCAATGTATTAGAGTTGCACTGCTTCAGTGACTCTCAGGTCTTCGGGAAGTTGAAGGCAACATTTTCTTCCTCTGATTTAGAAGTGCATTTTGAAGTAGGGCAGCCTTCAGATATTCTAGTGAAATAAGGAGCCAAGTAAACTGTTACTTTAAAAAGAAAATACATCATTAGCATTGTTAAGAAACACTTGCACTCACCTATATTCATCAGTGGATGTTCCTAATGTCTGTCATCAGTAATAATGCCAATTTTGATCCTCAGCGTCTAGGGAATCTGCAGCTGCAGGCTTGCCTCCCTTCTCCTATCCACTTGCCAAAGACATTGATAGATACGGGTCATCACGTGCAGTAAAGGCAGGGTTGAACCTTATCAAACCAGGAGTGAGAAAACCAGCCCATCTGCCTAATGAAGAACATTGTTTGTTTAGAGAGAGTCTCCCTCTGTTGGCCAGGCTGGAGTGCAGTGGTGTGATCATAGCTCACTACATTCCTCCAACTCCTGGGCTCAAGGGATTCTCCCACCTTAGCCTACAGCCTGGGACTACAGGCCCGACCCACCGTGCCCCACTCCTAAAATTCTGGAAGCTTACCAAAGTCTGACACACTATATAAAAATCCGTTTCTACCAACTGAAAAATTGGATCCACTAGGGAGCCAGTGGAGCTTTTTAAGTAAGGCATTTCTAATTATGTTTCTGTAGAAGCGAGGCTCCTCAGGAAGGCAGCAGTATGCAAAGATTTTAAATTTATGGACAAAGAAATTTGTGAAACACTAGTTGAAACAACATCAAACAGGTCTCTTTTTCTGAACCTTTAACGTGTCCTTACACATTATGACTCCCTAAGAAGGTGATAATGTGCTTGTCAAATGTATTGGCCTCATGTCTTTTTTTCAAAGGTGTATCTTGTATTTCTAGTGAAAGTTCTGTAGAACATACTTTGGAAACACTGAAGTATTCGTCATGTGATCAGAGATGTGCTTTAGGAATATTAATTTGGAGGCTATGCACATTTAGGATGAAGTAGAGAGACAGAGGCAAAGAAAACAGGCTACGTATCCAGGTAAATATAGTGCAGGTGATGACAGTGATTACAAAAAGGTAACATAAATACATTGTGAATTTTAATTGGGCAGGACTTTGCAACTGAATGGAAATAGGCAATGAGGAAAGGACACAGGTGGTATAGAGTCATAGGTATTCAAACATACATTTTGTTGGCTAGAAAAATTGGTACACTCTTCATAGAAATTAAGAAAACAAAAGGTGCACCTTAGTGGGATCTGGATAAACTTCCCAAGGGAATGAAAGACATACAATTAATTTTGCTGGAAAGACAGTTGAACCTTACTCTTTCCTATTGGACTTTTTGCTCTCCTTTCTTTTTCTTTTCTACCTTCTAAGTCAGCCCTCTTAAAGATACCTTTATCACCAGACTGGCTATTGAGGGAAGCAATCTCATTGGTCTCTTTTTTCAATCTTCCAAATGGATATTAAAACAAAACGAAACAAAAATAACACAACTCTTCTTTTTCAGAGTTCTTAAAACTGCTTTTTAGGAGTTTTAGTGCTGATGAATAGAGGAAGTGAATATCTTATTAGGACCCCATTTCAACATATGCTAGCGAGTTGCTTAGTATGATGTAAGAAGTAGGGGCAGTAAAAACAAATGGAAAGTTACAATGGCTTTTTAAAAACTTACAGAAGTGTAATTGTTTGGGACTATTCTTAGAACTCATCTATTTTAGAATGACAACATGCTATGTTTAATCATTGATATTATATAAAAATTCATTTTGTGCACTAATATATGGATGTTTAATAATAAGGTCTGCTCTTGGGAAACTTAGTTGGCTCTGCTTTAGATAATTTAATTAAAAAGGGGTTTATGTTGGTTTGTGCTTCTACAATACAGTCTTTGTTGTGACTCGAGGGTCACATTGTAACTTGAATGCTACTGCACATGTAAAGAACAAGAATTTAGATATCCATTGACTCAGATTTAAAATAATGGAGCATTTATGTGAACAAGGTTCTCCTCTTGCCAAACAAAACACAAACCACACCATTTTCTTTTTTACTGCACATACACTATTATTCAACCAAAGTCCTATTCTTGATGACCCCATTCCAGAACAAACAGAAATGAAGTCACACTCCCACTTGGTCCTCCCTTGTTCTTGAGCACTTTTGTGTACTTTTGTGACTTGTGTTCTTTCATTTGACAAATCTCATCCTCTTTTCCCTAAGCTAAAAAATATGCTTTCAAGGCATATTTAGTGCCGAATCATTTTGTAGGTGATAATTATGAGCCAACTGGTCTGCCTGTCACTTCAGCATAATTGATGGCACCCTCTTCCACTCCCAGGTGCCCTTATTTGCTGATATTGTCACCCGATGTGTCATACCTAATTTTTCTCTTCTCATCTGCCGATTCCCCATTTCCAACTTTAACCGAGTTTATATTTTAAAGCATAGGATTATATACTCAATGGGGAAAAATGAATAAGTCATCCAGTCATATTTCACACTAGGAGAATTCCTTTTACAAAATCCTTCACGAGATTCAGCCTCTATCTGAACTTTCTGGCAGCTAATTCATTACTTTTTGAGGTGGTATTTTCCACTACTAGGCATCTCTAAGTTTTAAGAAAGTCTTCTTTATCTTCAGCTTTAATTTTATTCTTCTTCTCCAGCCTAAAACTCTGTTTATAGTTTGGAATTCCTTTCTCAACCACAGGTTTTTGTAATGCCCAGGTTAAGGCAGCTATTGTATATTACAAACTAACTTCTTTTTAGTTATCTGAAAAAAATATTAGTTATATATTATCCTCGGGAAAGTTGAGAAAATAGTTACTCAGGTCATTTTTTTCTGCATTCAGAGGAGGAACCTCATTTGAAAGGCTGCAGGGCTCTATCATTTACTAGCTATATGACCTTGGAAAGTTTATTTTATCTCCTTCAGGCTGTTTTTCAGCAACAAAATGAAAGTCCCCCTTACAGACTGCTGTGAGAATCAAATAACATACAAAGTTCCTTAGGAACAGATACTTTATCATGTTTATCACTTCATTCTAAGTGCTTACTGCAGGCAGTAGCAGGTACAGAGTAAGTTCTCAATAAATATCTCTATAAACAAGAAAAGTCCTAGCACACTGACTTGCACATAGCACTCAATAAAAGGTAGCTATTACTATTCTTTTAATCACTCTTCCTATGATCTGGTTTCTAGAATTCTCACTACATTAATTCACCCTCTTATGGAAGCTATCTTATTGACTCAACATTCTTAACATGTAGTTCTAACAATTCAATACTATGTGGTGTATGGAGATTTTGCCTTATTTGAACATAATTATTTTAAGGAAGTCTAAACAGACAAGCGTCTGCTGGGAAAAAGCTAGTCTACCTGCTTATATGAAGAGCTGGCACTTACAAAACCCAGTAACTTTCTCACAATACCACCCTTTAAACATTGGGAAATGGATGCTTAAGAGAACAAAAATATCAGCAAATAAGGAGTGATCAGCCAGGTAAGAGAAGAACCAGGACAGCGCAGTATTATGAAGGAAAAAAAAAAAAGCCACTGCAACCAGTACTTATCTTTACACAGCCCAGTGTGGTGATTCCTATTCACTTAGTAGCCTCCCCATCTCCGTGATCTTTCTTGATGGCCAGACTGTGTAAAGTTCATACACGGTGTTTACTACAGGGATCCCCAAATATTGTCAGTTTAATGAGTAAACACAAATTTCAAGGAGGGCACTACAGTGAGATGAACGGTTTTCTGATTGGAGATTGTACAACTAATGTTTTCACCAGTGTACTTTAGGACAGCAGATTCAGATTAAGGCGCTGGGACTGAATGCAAATAGTAAAATTACAAATATAAAGTAAAAATTTGCAACCTTTGCCAAAGAAAGGAATGTAAACTGAGTTAATAATTGGAAAGAACAGTAAGGTTTAGGTTTTGTTCTTATTTTTAGTGCGACTGAGATTGTTGTTTGTTTGTAGACACATCTGAAAAAAGTGAAGGGAGAGATGGAAGATGGTAAATGTCAAGGAAAAGATGGAAGGATAAATCACTGTAATAAAAAGGAGTACTTTTTCGCCAACAGAAGTAAAGGTAGTGTCTGAGTTAACGAATGGATTGTTGACCTCTGGGGAGGGTGATCCCATCAGCTCAGCTTTGTGACGACCTAAGAATATCCCTTCCACCCCTTTCCTGATCCAATCATTCTGGCTGCATAAAACCACCTAAATCAATTAACTGTTACACTTCCGTTGGTGCTAGGATATATTCATATAACTCCTACGTATTAAATGAAAATACATTCATCTAAAAATAAGACAACAAGATTGCTGCTACACCAAGAAAGGATTTTAAAAAGGCCTGTTCACAAGGTAAGTGAGGGCCAGAGGAAAGGAGGAAAGGCGGTCGTTTAAACTGAAATTCGAGCCGCGATGACACCTCCTAATGCAATCAAACGCTGTTGCAGCACACTTCTTAGGAGGTCGGGTTCAACGCCAGGGTAAGGTGAGAATCTGGCCTGGCGGCTCCGGCCCCGGCCATCCGGTTCCCTTCCGTTTATAAAGCGGGTTGGGCTCCGGCCGCCACCATTCACTCGACGGCTCTCGGCACGAACGTTTGGTTGCAAAGCCTGCCGAGGTCCTAGATGAATCGCTTCAGGCCTGGAAACGAGGAGGAAGCCGTCTCCAGAGACCATTGCCAACGCTGACGCCCGCGGTCTGAGGTCGCTGTGGGAAGAGCCGTGGGCCACCCTGCTCCTCTGATCACCGGCGGACAGGGACACATTGTTCAGGGCCATCTTCAAACACCACCCGCAGTATCTGCGTTACGTCCCTTGGTCAAGGCAGGCCCTTCGCGGCTCCCCAGATCAGTTCAGCCTGTCTCGGACCGGGTGACTAACCACACTGGAAGCCATAACTGAGCCTGCGGAAAAGCCAGACACCGCCCTGCCTTTATCGAGCGCTATCCTGGCGAGCATGCGCACTCCGTCCGCACAAGTCGACGCCCCCTGAGAGCAAGCGCAACGGACGTTTGCGTTGGTGACGCCAGGGAGCGTGAGGACGTGGGGCTTCCGTGAATGCGCAGTGGGTACGTCGGCCACGACCTTTTGGCCAGGTTAGGGAGGGGGCGACGCTGAGATGGGGGCGGCGGCGGCGGAAGCGGATCGGACTCTCTTTGTGGGCAACCTTGAAACGAAAGTGACCGAGGAGCTCCTTTTCGAGCTTTTCCACCAGGTAAGCAGATGAGTTCGGCTCTTTTGCCTTTCGTTTTCCGTCTCGCCTAGGGCTTGGCCCAGCGACCACCCCTTTTTCTTTTCGTGGCCGTCAGGGAACCCGACTGGTGGCTGTTTGGGGGTGAAGGGCGCGTCTGGGTTGCGAAATGCTCGCTGGGTGTCGCTTTCCTGGAAGATCTTGGTTCGTTTAGGCCAAAAGTGACGACTAAAGGTGGTGGAGGGATCCTCGGTCAAGTTTCGGGGTAATTGGAGATCCAGGCGTCCTTGGGAACATAGTGTGTGTGTAGGGTCTTCGTTGAGCAGTGCTTTTTCTTATCCCTCCTGTTCTCATCTTGCACTTAGGATAATTTGTCTTTGGTGAACTTAATATTTTAATTTATTTGTGTCAGTTTTCCCTTAAAGTTTGCTTATCAAATTGCAACATTATTAAAATATGTAAAATAAAATCGTTAAGTACTCTGTAGAAAAACAGTATTTTAGTGTTGCTATATTAAAATGTGTGGAAAATTCTGAGTATCCCATTCCCCCCATCCCTATCCCCTAATAACTGGTATTGTTGATTAATCAATACAAAAGTCAGTTTTTGGTTCAAGAAAATCATTCTCTTGTTCTTGATAAATGTTCATTTTCATGGAGTGGCAAAATAATGGCGATCGTTCACTATGCTAAGAGACCATACAGTGCTGTGAACTGCAAAAGTGATTGTGTTTCCAGTTCCTTAATGGCCCCCTTCCCCAAATAAATCTAATGTTCGATCATAACTAGGATGTTTACTGTAGCCAAAAGGGAAATCCGTGCATCATTTTTAAAAGAAGTTTCTGATTACATTTCTGTTGTTTATAAACTTTGACGTCTCGTATTTGTAAAATTTGAGTGTTTTCCTTTAGTTGCTTTATTTAAATTCTAAACACCTTTTTGTTTGTAGGCTGGGCCAGTAATAAAGGTGAAAATTCCAAAAGATAAGGATGGTAAACCAAAGCAGTTTGCGTTTGTGAATTTCAAACATGAAGTATCTGTTCCTTATGCAATGAATCTACTTAATGGAATCAAACTTTACGGAAGGCCTATCAAAATTCAATTTAGATCAGGTAAATGTCCATTGAGGTTAGGGGGCATTGTTTCCTGCTGTTTTTAAATTTATTATTCAGTTTTAAAGAACCTCTTATTTGTAGATGAAACTGCTTTCTTAAGCATTGTGATTAGCAAACTTTATCTTGAAAACAGGTAACATTGACACATGGATTTTGAAATTATAATTTTAAAACTGAGCTTAAAGTTTCATTTTGGGTTAGTGAAAAGAACATAAACTGTATCACTAAGAGAGTTGGGCTTGGGTGCTCTGAAAAGAGCTAGGTTTATTTTCTGAAAATGCTTCTCCTGGCTGCTTTGTAATTACTTTCATATATTTTGATTCTTGATCATGTGAGGATGAAACTGTCCATGTATCCAGTCTTACAATTTAGGGCGGAGATCAGAAAATTGTGGTCAGATTGGATATTTATGGAATGCTTTGTTTTGCTTATCTGATATTATACACTTATAATTTTCACTCTGATGAAGCCGTAAAGCAGTCTACAGCAGTTCGAGATTTTTTTTTGAGTGGGAGTCTTACCCTCGGCTGGAGTGCAATGGCACAATCTCAGCTCACTGCAACCTCCGCCTCCCGGGTTCAAGCGATTCTCCTGCCTTAGCCTCCTGAGTAGCTGGGATTACAGGTGCACACCACCACGCCTGGCTAATTCTTTGTATTTTTAGTAGAGATGGGGTTTCACCATGTTGGTCAGCTGGTCTCGAACTCCTGGCCTCAAGAAATCTGCCCACCTCAGCCTCCCAAAGTGCTGGGATTACAGGTGTGAGCCATCGCGCTGGGCCAGCAGTTTGAGATTTTTCTCTTTTAGATTGTGTTTACCTTTTTGGAGTGATTTCAGGTGGGGAAGGCAAAATTTCAAATTAGATTTTCTATCAAGAATAATTTTTCAAATTATTTCACTTTAGGAAGTAGTCATGCCTCGCAAGATGTCAGTTTGTCATATCCCCAGCATCATGTTGGAAATTCAAGCCCTACCTCCACGTCTCCTAGCAGGTAATATTTCTCACTTATTGTTAAGATCACTTATCAGGATTTCTTATAGGGAATAGCCTCAAAACACATGAGCGACATAACCATCACCACATACGTGTACAGTACATGTATACACTTGAAACAAAATTTCTCAAAACATTATTTACCCTCACTACTTGCATTACTTACTATTTCAAAACATTAATTTATTTTACAATCATTAATTGGTTGTTACTTACAGTAAAAAATACCAATTAGTCAGCAGAGTATTCGACTAAGAATTCCTAGAATTGGATTCTAAGTCTGCATCTATCAATTGTGTAATCTTGAGCTAGTCTCCTTTCTTTAGTCCTATCTTCCCATGTGTAAGGAAAAGAAGTTGAATTAAATGATTTGTAAAATCCCTTCAGGTACTGAGTATTAGAAAGTATCATATTTACTTAAATAATTTTATTTGCTTTGGGGAGGTTAATATTTTACCAGGGACAGTTTTTCCCGGTGTATCCATAGAGCTATTTAACAGTCATTTAAGGAAGATTTAATAAATACCTGCCATATCTCAGGTTCTTCACCAAATCTTTTACATGTATGATTTCATTTATTCCTCACAGCAGTTTTATGAGGGTAGAGATTATTTTTATCTCTACCTTATATATAAAGGGAAATGAAAGATGGAGGTTAACTTGCTCAGATTCAGTGGGCTGGGATTCAAACCCAGGCAGTGTAGTGTGATTGAGCCCAGCCACTATGATATATTATCTAGGGGAGCTTAAAGTCTAAATGAAGACACATATATATATTTTTGTGAATACCTGTTCAATTACTGTAATAAGTTCTGTAAAGAAAGAGTAGAAAGGGCTTTGAGAAAATTTTAGGAGAAGGAGATGATATAGATGAATGTGGAACTGAAAGAAGCCAGTGTACCTAGATCCTAGTGAATGAAAATGGAGAGCAGTAGGGGATTTTGGTAGATACGCTGGAGAGGGTCTTGTAAACTATAATCAGGATTTTGAGATTTGCCCTAAAATCGAGTAGGAAGGCAGTGAAATGTTTTAGGTAAGGTACTGGTAGGAACAAGTTTATATTTTAAGAGTTGTTTGGTTGCAATGGGAGAATGGATTGGAGGGGACAAGAGTGAAAATAGAGCAGTGAGGAAGCTTTTGGTAGCAAAGTATTGATGTTGGAAGCTATTGATGGATGAGGTTGATAGTTTAGATTAAGGTAGTGTCATGAGCTGGAGAGAAGTGGATGGATATGAAGAGATACTGGAAGGTGGATAGTGAGCAAGCAATAGTGCAAAAAATGTACCCTCCCGGTGTTCTTTCTTGTTAGCTGAAATTAATAGTGTTTAAACATTTCTTAGTAAAGTTGGAATTTAAAGCACTTCCAGCCACTTTAATGGAGTCTTCAAAGGCAACCTAGGTAGAGGAAAATAAAGTTTTCCCTCTTAGAATTTCGTGAGGAGGAAAAAACAGGTGCAGTGACCCATTCCTATAGTCCCGGCTACTTGGAAGGCTGTGGTGGGAGAACCACTTGAGGCCTTGAGTTTGGGACCAGCCTAGGCAACATAGCAAGGCACTCTCTCTATTTAAAGAATTTCTTTGGGGGGAAAAAAAAAGTGCAAGTAAATACTTTGGTTTTAATCAAAGGCTAGAGAGCTTATAATTTCTATACTGTAAATTGTATTCCTCCCTTAGCATACAGATAATATAATATAATCTGATTTGAGAAAGGCTGAAATTAAAAGATCCAAACTGTAAGACTAGCCAATTGGTTATAGGATTCTAAAAACATTTTAAAATAATTTAAAACATTTTTAAAGTGAGCTTTTCTGTAGAGCAAGTTATCCCTTTAATAAATAAGGAATAAGGTATAAATCCTCAAAAGTAATATCCTGTGTATGTTACAGAACTCTTAATTCCTTACCTCCCAAAACCTCTCTCTCTCCTGTCTCAGGAAATGTCTACCTAATTGCTCAAGCCAAAAGTCTAGATTTGATCCTTTATTTCTTCCCTCATTCCACATATCCAGTCAATCAAATTCTTTTCATTTGAGTTTTCAGTCTAGGTCTTTGCATTAGCTCAGGGACTGACAAATTATTTCTAGAAAAGGCCATATAGTTAATATTTTAGACTTTGCAGAAGATACTGTTTCTGTCTCTGCCATTGTAGCACTTAAGTAGCCATAGATAATACAAAAACAATGGTGTGGCTATGTTCCAATAACACTTTGTTTAGGGAAAACTGAATTTGGCAGCTTGACCCACTGGCTATACTTGCTCACCCCTGCACTAGTCCTTCAGCTGGGAAGTTTTTGCCTCGTGGTAACCTTGGTGTTCAGTTCTAACTACAAATGTCACCTTTTTAGAAAGGCAGTCCCTCACCAGCTAAAAGATAGGGGAACCTCCTATCTGTTTCACTTCTACTTGATCTTTAATCAGACATTTTATCACTTACAATCATGAGAAAATATCCTGTTGTCTGTATTCTTATTCTGGCTGCATGGGAGCAGGTACCTTGTCTGTGTTATTCATGCCAACCTTTGAGAAATGTGTTTTGCTCATGGTTATCATTTAGTAAGTATTTAGTAAATGAATGGTTATATGTTGGTTTTCTTTTTAGCAGGTACGAAAGGACTATGGATAACATGACTTCATCAGCTCAGATACTTCAGGGATCTTTCTCTTCTCCAGAAAATTTTCAGAGACAAGCAGTGGTAGGTTGACTATTTTTCAACTTGAGTTGCCAAAAAAAATTCATCCTTAGTTAAAATGTT